TTTAATGAATACTCATGAATATGTCGTGTAGAGAATCTGATTGAAAGCTAGGTCTTCTCCTCATAGTGATGGCGTAATATTAATGTCCGCGAAGGTATTGTTTTTTGCAAGAAGTTCTGTGGGACTGACATTGGTAGGGCATGAAATGGTAATAGGTCAAATCAAGATCAAGTAAGTGGAAGGCGGGTCCCAATTTCTCAGGAATTCTCGATGTAAAACAACTAAGTGTCAAAAGTGTCGTAATTTATCATCATTGCATTCACCTTTTTCAAGCTCCCACGTTCTTCGGCCTCCCATTCTCTGGATGCTTTAATTCATAGCTGAATGTGATTAGGTATATCGCTCTTTGTAAACATGAGTATTTCAGGTTCGTGCTTTGCGAGGACGATTTCTGGCAGTTCAAGGTGATTTGATTGCGTTTCGTTTCTTCAACGAGAACACTGGCGATGTAATCCGCATAATCAACAGAGTGTCACGTAATCGTCGTCTTATCAAAGTGAGATACGAATATGGTTTGCTTAGATTTTTTTGGAGTAACTAGATTTGACTTAGTTGCAGGGTTTTTCCAAAGCTCCAGTGGATCTTCGGTTCGCTACACACCTTCCGCTTCTTGCAGTGGTTGATGGAGAATCCAACCTACATGTTTACTCTGTTGCAGCGGATTGTCAAGATGTGTGCGTACGAGTTCTTAGCACCATTTTATATCGACTCATTTACTTTTTTGAATTATTATTGTATTTGCTAACATTGGGTGTCATTGTTCAGGGAAACTTACATGACTATTATGAACTGGCCAGGCGGCACATCCGATAGTACGCCTCGTGTTGTCTGGTGTCCGTATGTCGCAGAAAACCCTTCTGATCCGTCAGACATTGTGAACATGGTTGCCCTTTTCAAGGTGACCGTTCGGAACACAATCTTCTTCGTCCCCTTGGCATATGTACAAAATGCTTGCATGGGTTTTCTTTAGAAAAATACGGTGTACGTAGTGAACCTCAGCATTCTGAAGGAGCGTGGATCAAGAGTGACGTATGAGGAAGCACTGGCTGTGGAAGAAGCCATTTTATCAGTGGAAGTTGAAGAGGTTCGTCATTTTTATTCGAGTTTAGCCCTTCCTCTGCAAAAAAGTACAAGCTATCCCTGAACTTTACCAAAATTCTTCCATGTTTGGTAAGGCATAAATATTCTTCGCCCCTCTTAAGTTATACCATCGTCGTAGTGTTGTATATATTCGTAGTTGCTTGCCTTTGCTTTCCTCATACAATGGGGCACAAACTTTTCTATTTAATGTGTGTTTTTATCTCCTCGCAAGCTGTGGCTGCTCTTATACATTCGTTAGGTTTTGAGACTTTCAGGAAGTTACCGCCGTTTGCATCTCTCCCGATTCTACGGCTGTCGCTATTGCTCGTGCTGACGGAGTCGTATCGTTTTATGTGATGAACTCAAATGAGAGCGAACTGAAATTTGCTCACACATGGAATCCCCAGATGAACAGGCCGATCGTCGAACTTTTCTTCCTTGACGGTGCTCGTCAAAAGAATCAGTAAGTATCAATTAGTTTTGTTTGGCATTACTCTTCAGCAAGGGCATTAAAAAGGAAGTTGGAATGAAGCACACATTCTGTCTCTCCTCCTCTGTTCACTCTAAATTCCGCGCCCCGGCCTGACCGGTTAAGAATTGTGACTTTTTTCTTGGTGGATAAACAAGGGAAGCATGTTAAGGGAGCAGTTTTGGCGCCACTGCCTTGTAGTGGCCGAAGGAGGTCGTCGATTGGCTCTTTTCGAATGTGAAGACTGGCGTTGTCTTGGTCGCGTCCGCTTTGAATCTTCTGTAGAGATCGCCACCTTCAGCGTTCACGTTGACCCACAAGCACGATATGCTCATATTCTAGACATCGACGGATCGGTTGGTGCTTTATAGCCAATATCCCTTTTAATGAAGATAATAGTGTTCTTAACACTCATTTAGAATGTGTTTTGTGTTGAACTGGAATATGCTGATCATCCTCGATTTGCTGGTATCACGCAAGTTACGTTTTCTCACCCAATTGTGGCTGTCGTCCCATATGAGGTGGATACGGAAGAAAAGCACGACTCCAGCGTAGGTATGGAATAGTTTTTAGTTCTCTGAGTTTTGTTTCCGCCGTCATACGCGGAGTATACGGCTTTATCCTCAAAAAAAAAANAAAAAAAAATCAGCTACTGCTAATCAGGTATTGCTCCAGACTACTCCCTGGACGACGAATTTGATGGCGATCGTAACCGCAATGAGGTCCTCGCGCATTACATCGCGATCGGGCATCGTAGCCTCCTTCAACTTGACGTTCACTTGGAATTGGCCGAGCAGCACAAGCCCCTTTCGGATGCAATGCCGGCACTTAAAACTGGTGGTGATGCTGAAGGAGATGAGCGGTATTTTTCCACTTCGCTTAGTTTAAGACCAAGACAATTGTGGCGCGCTTAATTCTATTCTTTTTCTCATCATCAACCCCTATTCATGCTTTAAAGTTTAACTCAATAAGGATTCCTTACAGTGGCAACGAAGGGCCTAGTGATTTGCTTACTGTTGCGCCTGCCGCTGCAGCGAACTCTACTACTCCTATAGACTACGAAAAACTAATGGAACAGTTGAGAGAAATGAGTGATAAGGTCAGTTGGATAGGACTCGAAAGCAGTCGGGAGTCTGAGATGGAGTTCGATTGTCCTGTATGTATCGTCATAACTTTATTACTTTAGATTGAACAGCTTTCCGTGCGTGTTGAAAGAGCTGACAGTGAGCGACGCTCGGCCGCCACCAACGAACACATTCTGTCACAGCTGCAATGTTTCAGTATGTTCTCAACTGCTATTCAGCTCGCTCTGTTTTTTCTGATTTCCTTCTGACTATTCATGGATTCGTTCCCGTAAATTCGCACAAAACTGGCAAATTTTGCTCTTATCTGCAAACACAGGACCTGGTCTGTTGTAAAGGCCACGGTATATGCTAATATTAGTTAAAAAGAGTGGCACTCAGCAGAAGTTTCCAACGTTTGTATGTTCAGTTTGAGTGAATTGAAGAACTTATTAAATTGCTGCTTTCCAATGCCCTTACCTCTTCAGCTAGCTCAATTTTCGATGAGTTTTACTCCGGAACATGCGTGCGCGAATGTGCAGATGTCCAGTTTCTTTTGGTTTATGTTGCATCGCAAATCCGTGCACCGTGCAGTCAGACTGCAGAGGTATTTGCGGGATGAATAAAAGGGCAGTGAACAATGATTTTTCCTCGTTGGTACTGCTGAACGTCCTGAAGTTCGATCACCGGCACTCCAATATTAGTAGCTACTGTTAGGGCTCGCTGTCTTGTTGTTGCTTTTTCTACTATAAATGTTACCTTCCGCAGGGCTTCAATCTAGGAATTCTTCTTGATCACGTCTTTGAACCTGCTCTTTAGGAGATCTCGTACTCCTTTGCCCTAAACTCCGAAGTAACTGTTTTTATGTTGTGAGTTCTTAAGCCCGTAGTTCGCCAAAGACTTTCAGCAATAGACTTTCTCTATTTCACATACGACACGTTTATTTGTCTAAGTTTTTTCAGTTGCCAGTTTAGCCTTTGTATTGACATACTTATTTTCCATTTATTAGTGACATGATGTCAGCATCAGGGTTTTCAAGAGTTTGTTCACGAATTTAATTTTTATGGAGGCACCAAGTGCTGGTGAAAGAAGGTAGACTCAGGCTCAACGGTGTCGTCTATTGTTTCCGTCAAATTGGATTGATTATGTGTAGATGCTTAATTTTACCGCACTTTCTTTTACAAAAACTAGCCCCAACGAAAAATCAAGTAAAGGTGCCGTGACTTGCTAGTACATATGGCATCTAGATAAACCGTTAGTTTGCTGTGAAATCCACTAATAATTGTCGCTTTGACGCCAAATCTATAACAATTAAAACAGAAAACTCTTTATTCAACGTATAAAGTGCTCCAGTGATATCTGAATAGTTTAAAAGAGTAATGAACTCTTCGTCCATCTCTAGATCTGTCACATCGAATTTTCCAGGTTAGTAGAGTTCTGTAGAAATAATAGCTGGATGTTTCAGAAGAAGAGTTCTCGCTACGTGAAGATCGTCTGCTGGCGAATGTGTCTGACTTGATCGAGACGAACCATCGCGAAACGATTAATGTTGTTCGCAATGCGCTCAATGAGAATTCAGTAGCCGTGGAAAACTCTATACAAGCAAATCATAAGGCGAGTTACAGTTTTGACTATCCTCTCAGGAATCAGTTTTGCTTTAAAGTTGGTAAAAGCAAGTTCTCATACATTTTTGTTCTACATCATGAATCAGTGCCAATGTCCCTCCCAACCGACGGTATGCATGCAGGGATCTGCCTGCAGTATAACCAGCTTAGCTTCTCAATGAGTTTAGTTTCGTAGCTACACGTTTTCAGATACAAAAACAGACGATTTGTTTTTGTTAGAATGAAACCGGTTTTACGCACACCTTTTCATTATGTGTCCTAACCGCTTATCAGGCAGTACCATAAAAATTTTATTTGGTCTTTCATTTTCCACTAGAGTTCTCAAGTGGTCGCCAATCGTTCTACTTCTTTCTTTTTTGCTAGAGTAGCTATACTATTGGGCAAACCGGGGAGTATCGATCGCAGAAAACAACGACTATGGTAGCTTGCACACTTTCTTCACAGCTCTCACAACCTATTTGTAATTAGTTTTTAGTTTAGTGGTCGAATTGTGAATTTTAGCCAATTTTTTCGGGAACTGATTTTTTCTCGAGTTTTCCTTTCTTATTAACGGAACGGTGTCATTTTTTCATTTCATCATACGCTAATAGTAGGATTTTAACAGCTCTTCAGGTTTGGAAAAATATGTAAAAAAAGAGAGATATGAAGTGAACTTGTGATCGTTAGTGTATCTCTACACAAGTTTTGTGGGCATGAAAATCATTTGGAGTTCTGAGTGGAAGATAAGTTTCTCACTTAACAGGGCAACATGTCTTATTCTCACATTTGCGTTTTGAAGCTAACAAGTTGCGACTACCTGGTTGCTAGCTCATAATCTACAATGTCTTCACCCACTCAATGATTTACATAGTTTTCGATTTTTTCATGTTGTATTACTAATTAACAGTTTTAGCTTAGCGCAGATGCAGTCTCTCACCGAGTTACCGAAAGATTACGTGAGTCGTTAACAACAATGGTGGTACCAGCCATAGAACGGATTTGTGCTCAGCTTTTCAAGCAGCTAAATGACAACTTTCGTCATGGTCTTGATCAGGTTCGAATGTTTACCTGATTTAGTGCAGTTTTTCCTGATTCGATTTCGTAGCATGTAATCCCATTCCTTTTGTTTTCCATTTGCTGTTTACTTCTTTTCAACATATTAGCAAATTTATTAAGCCGGTGCAAATGAAAAAGGCTGTTTCGGCCCAGACCACGGATTGAGCGAGGAGAAATTCATGATAGATTTTTGAGACTAGGTTTTAAAGACACACATCCATGATGTGAACACACAACAATGTAGTCTTCGTGACGAAAAAAAGCAAAGAAAATCGTTCCACTTCTCGCAGCAATTCTGCGTATATACTGCAGAAGTTACCTAAAGGAAGCTGGTTATTCAGATCATAGTCCAATAAAATCAGAGGTCTTACC